TCTCTTATAAGGCTTAAAAAGTCTTTTGGTTGAGCCAAGTAACCAGGAACTTTATAATTGAAGGGGGGGGGGGGGCATCCTAACCACCAAGCCACAGCTATTCTCCTTTGCTCACCCACAGAATCCACCAGTGATAAAATATTATTCATTGGACATACTGTACATGCCTTTGATTTTTACACAAGTATAGACACTTTATAAATACTGTACAGGTATATGATTATATATTAATTATTATTAACTGTATCATTAATGAAATTCATTAATTACATCTTCATATCAGTATTTGTAAAATAGAAAGAAATTGTCAATATTTTAAATATTAACACATGCTTACCCCTTCAGTGGAAGCTTTTAGGCATTCAGGTGCTTCAGGGAAAGGTGTTGGCCATGATATGCACTTAACAATCTGTCCCAATTTAAGGTTTCTACACCAAGTGCAAAAGAAATAGAAAGCAATAATAATTAAAATACTTGAATCAATATAAACAATGCAAAGATATGCACTAATGTACTTTTACTTGTGATAATGTATGCAAGATTAAGCTTCGATCCCATACAACCGCTACACGCGATCGCCAACAGCTTTCGGTGATGCTGACTGATCAGTCGAATCAGAGCGCCATCCCAAATGCGTCGGGGACTGCTACGCAGTACAACGATTGCGTTTAAAACACTGTAGCCACAATGTAGCAATTTTATGGAAACCAGCCTTTACAGTATCATTCAATCTAATCTCTTAGAATAAATGTACTGTATATAGAATATTATGCATATTCATTTCATACATGAATATGCATATTCTGTATTATGCATATTTATTTCATACATGCTTTGTGATAGGCTGAATTATGTGCATATATGCCTTGAACTTGGATATACACAAATGTGAGTGAAGATATGATATGAGATTGCTATACTAATACAAAACTAAGGCTTTTACAATCTTACCCAAATACAACATCGTCTTTAGACAATCCCACAATCCAATGCTGTGTGCCAGTGACTTCAAGGACGGATGAAACCTTACCAGGGTAGATGCCAACTTCACAGACTTCAGTTGGTATATTACTGGATGGAGATAGAATAAGATAATGGGTTATCAATCTCTTTAAATTATTAAGAATTATAAAGAATAATTTAATTATTAAAATGAATGACAAAATTTATTAACAGAAAAATAATGGATTGTGGTACTGTTGATCATAAATGTAATACAATTTTCAAATTCATTATTTGATTGTAAACAATACTGTATACAGTATTGTAAACAAAAAGTAAAAATAAAATCTTCATTTTACCTGCTAAAAATATCCAAAGGTATATGAAAAAGAGTTGACCTGTTAAACTGGCATTGGTAAAAAGCACCTGCAATGCCAACATCAGCTATAGAACACAAGGTGCTTATGTGACCTCTGACATGTGAACCTGATACTCTGATCATATGCTCTTGAAGTGTATGTTTTCCGTCAATATTAAGATGAAATAACCTGAAAACAAAAATAAAAATAAATAATAAATGAAATCAAAATACCTGTACTTTTTATATTCTGAGTAAAGACGCTGTAATTTGATGGTTAACAATGCTTGTCTCTTCAAGGTTTAACAATTAAATCATGTGACTTCCAGAATTCCCTTATCTTAAAGCCTTGTATAAAACATGCTTAAAAACTCCTGTTAATAATTAATCTTTATATTATGTAGCACATTTAACAATTAGGTTGGTAAGTGCATTATCTGTTGAGTTCAAAAGACAAGTTTTGAAGCATAATTATATAAAGGTAGTTCAATGAGCGCTTATTCATATGTCAGTTGAGAAATAACAGTATTTACCTTTTTGACAATTTCAAAATCATTACCAGTCAGATATACTTTTAATAAATAAAACTTTTATAATTATTAACATGTATAATACTGTATTTGCAAATCGATGACGCACACTGAAGCATACTCTAGTGGGGTCCTATGTCAGTATAGATTCAGATTCAGATTTAGAACTGATTCCAGAGATGCTTATAATTTTGACAATCATAAGATATGCTCAAACACAAACCTCAAACAGGATGAAGGGAAAACACCACCAGTGGTCAGCCAGATGGTTTGGTTGACACACACTAAACAAACACTCTCAAAACATTCCACCTGAAATGATCATTGGAAATGATTGATTTGAAATGTGAAAAATCGAGAAGACCTTACAAATATACCATTCTTTATAAAAAATTTTAAAAAAAAGAAAAAGAAAAAGAAAACATGACAGGATTGGTCAAAATTAAACCTAGTTAATGCTGCTGGCCTCTGCCAAAAAGTGTCAGGCCCCTTGTAGGGCAAATCCTGATTCCATCACTAGTCTTGATCCACCTTAAGCAGACAGGTGGTAGGTGCCTGTACAGCTATTTTGCTAGTAAT